AATGAAGAAAGAAAACACGCGGAAGATGAAAAGAATAGCAACAAAGCTAGAAATCTCCAACAGGTAAGAAACTGGGAAACAAACCTCTACAATGCTAAAGAAGAATCTTGCTAATGTGTTTTTCAAGTGTTTATTTCATATTGAAATAATCCCATTTAAAAATATGTGAAGATTAAAAATAATAAAATATGTGAAAATTATTAAAAATTAGAACTGTCGTGTTTTCAGGCCTAATTATACAAGCTGTCTTCTTGTTTGTGTGATCTGAAAAACAACCCCATAGCTTTAGCATGCACTATGGTAAGAAAATCATCAAAAGAAATGACCAAATGCTAGTATTGGCACAATGGGGTTTTAATCACTTTCTGTTTATCTGTTTGTAAATAAACTTAAAAGGCCTGGTATATTTATTTTCACTGGCAGACTTTAGTTCTTTCCTGATGCATGTAATGTGCTGTTACTGTAAAGAATTAAAAACCTCAACGTCCCTGTAATGACGAGCTCAGTCGTTAACCTTCACAGAAAATTAAAGCCAATTCAGACAATCTGTGCCGGCTGGATTTTAAAAGTAACTATTAGACTTTGGGAGATGAAATGTGTACATTTTTCACTGACACTTTATATGGACTCAAGAGAATTGTCAAATTCAGGGAAAAACAGATAAACTATCTCCAGCAGAGAAAATCAAAGTGCACGTAATAAAAGAACAGATGAGTCTAATGTTACCCCCAATCTAAAGCGTGCGGCACTTACTTCTACGAAAGACAGACACAAAAGCGTACATTTTGGAATGGGTGAAGAGCTGAGAACATGAGGGGTCCGCATGATGCAAAATAACCAGGCCAGCTACACTTCTAATGAGGCTGCAAGAGAGCAGTCTTTGTTTCTTCACGCTTCTTGTGGTTGTTTAACATAGTCCTTTGTTCTTAGGGAAAGCTCTAAGATGTAACTTTACAGAGATTCTAGTTCTATTTGTTTTCATGGGGGACAAAAGATCAATTTAACTGATTTTTAAATGAAATGATCAAATAAACTGGGAACATTACTTTGCATGTGGTTTAAAAAGTAGAAGTCTTATTCCTGGCTCTGCTACTAACTACACAACCATGAGAAAGTCACTGGGTTTTAGCTGCTCGTGACTTAGCTGTCTACCCTGGACAGAATTAAAGCATCATCCCTATCTAGAGTGCAGGACTACTGTCGAAATCAAGTAAGGCAGCCCACCTTGTCAGCACTAAAAATCATTAACTCCTAAACAAGTATGAGATGCTATTTGTAACAACATAGCTGTAGAATCTGTATTCCCAGAGGTTTAAAGAAAAGGAGAGAGTTCTATTGGGGGGATGCTTGCAGTGTGGTCCTGCCCTATTTGGGGGCCCTCACATACATACTTGGGGAGTGGGGGGGTGCAAAATTTCACTTTGCACAAAGCCACAGACTCCCTGAAGTTACATAAAGAATTTTTTAATATAAAAGAAATAGAAAATGTTCTACTCATCTGCTTTTAATGTTAAGAGCAAGAAATATAGAAATTTCTTCAAGAAATATAAAACAAGAAGCAGCAAAAATAGTGGAAAGAACATGGAACTCTCTGAGAGCCAGGAGACTTGAGCTCTGATCCCGGTTCTGCCAGTAATGAACTGCAAAGCCACAACATCTGTCAAATGAGAGGGGTATATGAGAATACCTGTAGAGTCTTCTAGGTCAAAACACCACAGCACCAAATAAAATGTAACAGATAATCTAAAATATGCTTCAGTTTTTCTGGGTTATGGACAATTAAGGGAAAGGGGGAGACAGATAGGTAGAAAGAGAGGAAGACAATGAGAGGTAAAAAACAACAACAGAGAAACCAAAGGACAGACACATGTGAATTCTACCCCTAACTCTACCCACTCTCCCCAAAAATAGTTCTTGGAATAGAGACATAGGAAAGGACACACACTAACAAAAAGACATTCAGAAACAAAAATAAATATGCATATAGAGACTTTGGCTGAGTAATGCTCTTATTTTGTCATCTTGAAACTTTTAAACAAAAAAAGTACCAAAAATGTGTAATGTAATATTGTACTTTTACACTAAAGGCATAAATGGAGCCAGTTCAAGGCCTCTGCCTCATGAGCTGTATACAATGAAGTTGAAGGTTGAAAGCTACCAACCTCTACCATATGCTAAACTTATTTTGGGGTAATATATCATTTGGTAATTTGAGATCTCACATCCTGGTCATTTCCAACCAAACAAGCCAAAGTTGAACTTTCCTAAAATAGAAATATATCCCAAGAATTTTATGAATCAAAGCTTGGCCTTATTTTGCTTCCAGATAAGCAGTACTCAATATTGTAATTTAATAGTTACAAATTATGTAAATCCCACATTGCCAGTGAAAGTCCATTATTGGGGTTTTCCTGTTAATCTTCTCTGTATTGTGTAGAAAGCACTGGATAATGTAAACTCCAGCACCCGCCTTTGATTCCCTCCCAGATGAGGCCCATCAGACCTTCTTCTGACTTTTTTGAACTTCAAGCCTCTATAGGAATTAGACTGAGGAGCTAATTTGTACTTTGCTACTAATCAACACCGAGAGTAAAGGGGTCTCTAAGGAGTTGCAGACCTGCTGTTGCAGGGTGGTGAGTGATTCCCATTCACTCAGCCCAGCCAGCCAGGATCCGCAAGAATGGGCAACGCAAGGCTTCCCGATGTTTATTCCCATCTCTATTACCTATCTGCTAGGAACTCTACAAAACTGTATGAATTTCCACATCTGTAAAGAGAAAACTGCTATTCAGACCTATCTGCAGGATTCATAGGACGCATTTCTTTCTTGTAGAAAATAAGGGCTGGGGGGACAGCACGAGACTTTGCGGCTTTTGTTTTGCTTTAGCTAAGCCATTGGACCTTTCTGTACTTTGGTTTCTATCTATGAAATGGATTAAAAAAAAAAAAGTAATCCCACCTCTTCCCAGAAAACTTGATGTTGGAGAAATAACAGTACTGCACATGTGAAAGCACTCAGCTCTCTGGAGGCTTCAACAAGGACAACAGCACTAATAAGCGCTTAAATTTGCACAGTGTTTATCAGTGTTTTAAATACATGATTGCATTGGCCCTTATACCAAAGTGTAAAAGAGGGAGGCCATTTTTAAAACTTCATTTGAAAAGTGAAGAACTGAGGCCCAGGGAAGAGAACTGACTTGCCCAAAATAGAAACAGCTAGTTAGCAGCAGGACTGACAGAAGCCTAGTGCTCATTCTAGCCTACCCAACTGTGTATGTAGTTATTGCCTATTACCTTTTCATTCCTTTCTTCCTCCAAGTGAAGCTTGCTTTATAGAAGGTCTCTAATAAACAATCAAAGCTTTCTATTTCTCATTTATATTTCTAGTCCGTTGACTGTGATAAAGAGCTTAAACCTGTCCTCTTCAGCCAATACCTGTAAACTCTAGGTTTGCTGAACCCCTGAATCATCCAAGGCCTAAACCCTCATTTCAAAAACCACTGTGGTTGTTTTTTAATTTTTCTATTTCTACTTATCACTGTACCACATCTGAGCCATAGATCAGTTCCTTGGGTCTTTCTTTATAAAATACACTGTCTTTACCAACAGGTTCTATTCATCTGTGGTATTTTTATGGTGTTCCTCATTGTGGTATCCATTGTTAAAACCATGACAGACACAGCAGGTATTCTTAAGGTGATTTCTTTCCAATAAGAATCTGCTAAGCTTTTGAACTCAGGGACAATATGAGAGCAAGCTAGGGTAATTTCAAACAGCAAATAAAAGTTTGTTCTCTTTCATTCCTATTTCTCAGCTTCCTTTATTATGTTTTCCTCAAATTCCTAAAGAATAAAGCAAGATGAGAGGGTTGTGTGTTTTTTCCTTTGCCCTTTTTCAGTGTGTCCTCTTTGGGCCAGAAATCTCAGCACCTAGAACGGCAGGGGAGCGCCATGCCTGTTGCATATCCTGGTATGAGTAATTCCACTAACTACGACCACCCTAAGCCATGCTGAGCCACAGGATCAGGGCCCCCCTTTCCTCTGAAGTCAGAAGAAGAGACTCAGAGGGAAGGAGAATTGGAGAATGCTTTTTAAACAAAATTAATTCTGAGTAATAGCTCACTAGACACTAGCTTACCCCTCTGCCCTGATCTGCAGAATCTGAGCTATGTACCTAGACACTGCTTGTGCAGAGTATGGCTCCAGCTCCAGAGACTGGAAGAAGTACCAAAAGGAAGAATCATATGTTCTTCCATACCAGGCATTATCAGTGATTCTAGCCTCCCCCACCCCATCCCCACCCCCAAAATAAGGACTACAGACTAGCTCTGGGCAGGAGAGATGACAAATTTTATTCAGCACACATACACTGAATGCCCACTACATGTGCTATTTGCTATTGTGGGGCTGAGGGACAAATTCAGTTGCATGTTTTCATTTAATCTTTACAACAACCAAACAGATATTTTTATCCCCATTTTACAGATAAGAAAACTGAGCAGAAAGACTAATTGATTTATGCCAAAGTCATACATACACCAAGTTGTGCTGCTCCAACTGGAACTAAACTCCAAACTTATTACTTCTGGCCTCCACAGCACATACACACAAGACAGACAGTGACAGGGATGGAAATGTATATTCAGGCTGCCTTATACAGTGAACAGACTGCTGTCACATTTCCTTACTCATTAACTCTAAAAACTATGCTGATGGGACAAAACAAAAGCACTCTGAGATGTGAGGAGGGCAAGGATATAGAGAGAAGAGACCCTCTGGATATTTATCTTGTCCTCTGAGGGACACTGTTCCACCTATAAAACTGTCCAGGTTAAGAACTTACATTAATATTCTGTGTTACGTTTAATTTTTTTAGGATTTCAAGAGCATACTCAAGTAATTCATGCGTTTCAAAGCACAGACAAAGATCAAGGAAGATTAAATCCTACTAATTACTCCTTGGAAGTCTCAGAGCAAGTACTTCACAAGAACTGGTGGTCAAAGTATTCACTCACAAAACAAGTAAGCTTAGAAAAGCTTTCCCATAACCCTGACAAGATGGAACTTGCCTTAAACCGTCTGGCGCCTAATAAAACCAATGCAGAGAGCAACAACTCTGCATTTGTGTACTTTGAGTCCTGCCGACCCCCTTCTCTAGCCCTGCTCCCATTGCTCATAGCCTATGCTGTGGTCCTAATCACGGGCCTTTTCGGAAACCTCTCTCTCATCATCATCATCCTCAAGAAGCAGAGAGAAGCTCAGAATGTCACCAGCATCCTGATTGCCAATCTCTCTCTCTCTGACATCTTGGTATGTGTCATGTGCATTCCTTTCACTGTCGTCTACACTCTGATGGACCACTGGATATTTGGAGATACCATGTGCAAACTCACTTCCTATGTGCAGAGCGTCTCCATTTCTGTGTCCATATTCTCACTTGTGTTAATCGCTGTCGAAAGGTACCAGCTGATTGTGAACCCCCGCGGCTGGAAGCCCAGTGTGTCTCACGCCTACTGGGGCATCACGTCCATTTGGCTCTTTTCCCTTCTGCTGTCTGTTCCCTTCTTCCTGTCCTACCACCTCACCGAGGAGCCCTTCCACAACCTCTCTCTCCCCGCTGAGCTCTCCACGCACCGGGCGGCCTGTGTAGAAAACTGGGCGTCCAGCGTGAACCGGCTGCTCTTTACCACCTCTCTGTTCGTGCTCCAGTACTGCGGCCCCCTGAGCTTCATTCTCATCTGCTACCTGAGGATCGTCATCTGCCTCCGGAGGAGAAACGGACAGGCAGACAGGAAGAGGGAAAGTCAGAGCCGGCTCAGTGAGAACAAGAGGGTCAACGCGATGCTGATCTCCATCGTGGTGACCTTCGGGGCCTGCTGGTTGCCCTTGAACATCTTCAATGTCATCTTTGACTGGAATCATGAGATGCTGATGAGCTGCCACCATGACCTGGTATTTGTAGTTTGCCACTTGGTTGCTATGGTTTCTACATGCATAAACCCTCTCTTTTATGGTTTTCTCAACAAAAATTTCCAGAAGGACCTGGTGGTGCTTGTTCACCACTGCCTGTGCTTTTCACGTCGGGAAAGGTATGAAAATATTGCCATCTCCACTGTGCACACAGATGAATCCAAGGGATCATTACGATTGGCTCCTACATCAGCAGGTATATAACAATTGTTAACACTTAATACTAAGGCCCTTCTTCAATAGATGAAGAGGTGATGGCTGGGCATAGGCCAAGATTCATAAAGAAGATGCCAGAACCAAAAAAAGAGAGAAACTTCATGCTACCCGGTTTGCTTTAGGCCAAACCTGTGTCATCTCTCTCTCCCTCTCTGCCTCTCTCTCTCCCTCTCTGCCTCTCTCTCTTTCCCCCTCTCTCTCTCTCCCACTCTCCCTCTACTCCCCCTCTCTCTCTCCCTCTCCCTCTCTCCCTCTCTCCCTCTCCCTCTCTCCCTCTCCCTCTCTCCCTCTCTCTCCCTCTCTCTCCTTCTCCCTCTCCTCCCCCTTTCTCTCCCTCTCTTTTTGCTCCCCTCCCTTTCTCCCTCCCTACCTCTCTCTGTCTTTTCCTTCTCTTTAGGATTTCTATTCTCTCTTTTATATCATTTTAGGAAAAATTAACAGGAGTGCCACAAGACACCAAAATGAAATAAAATATAACAGCCTCACAAAATGAGCTGCAAATAAAAACTCTTATCTAAAAACCAACTTTAAATGATGTCAGCTTAGAATCTTAAAGGTACAGGACTGTAGCCACTTAGCCCAGAAAGCAGTCAACTCTCCCTAGATATGTTTTCTATCTCTTCTGACAGTGATTAGTACTATAATTAAGACTAATGGACGCGCGGCCAGGTGTGGCTCAGCGGTTGCGCATCAACCTAGGATCCAGGAGATCATGGTTCAATTCCTGGTCAGGGCACATGCCTGGGTTGTGGGCTCGATCTCCAGTCCGGGGAGTGCAGGAGGCAGCCGATCAATGACTCTCTCATCATTGATGTTTCTCTCTCTCTCTCCCTTCCTCTCTCTGAAATCAATAAAGATATATCTTTAAAAAAAAAAAAAAAGACTAATGGAATGTTTTGCTTCCTTGATAAAGATATATTGATTCTACTTTCCATTACTGAAATTATTCTGATCAAGCCACTGAACACAGGAAAGGGTTTTCATCAAACACTGATACTACCCCTTCCCCTCACCCCACACATATACCCAGGCTCCTCTAACCCTGGTCCCTCCCCTGAACATTCAGAAGAGATCTCCAACCTATGATTAAGTATTATGGCATTCTTTCTGGCTCCATGAGAAGAGATTTCTCCTTCTCCTACAAAACTGTTTTATCTTTTCTTCTAAACTTTTCTTGAACTTTAATGAAACGAAAGTCACTAATGATATAAAACTATCAATAATAGTTTTTCTTGTTTATTTTTACCTCAAAAAAGTACTGAATTAAATCTACTTTTTAATGAATGTCTTGTCCCTTCAGGGGCTTACATTCTGACAGGTAGTGGAATACAAGTCAGTAAGTAGCTATTGGAGCCCTGGCTGGTTTGGCTCAGTGGTTAGAGCACAGGCCTATGGATTGAAGGGTCCCAGGTTTGATTCTGGCCAAGAGCACGTACCTCGGTTGCAGGCTCAATCCCCGGCCCCGATCGGGACATGTGAGGAAGGCAACCAATCAATGTCTCTCTCTCACATCGATGTTTCTCTCCCCCCCCTTCCTCTCTCTCTGAAAAGCAATGGAAAAAATATCCTCGGGTGAAGATGAAAAAAATAAGTAGCTATTTGAGAAGATATAATGGAAATATAAACCAAGTGTTGTAAGGGCCCAGTGGAGGTAAAACTCATTTTTGAGAGGAAATAAGGAAAGATGTCAGGGAAGTCAACCTTATTTCCTGTTTTTGCAGTATTTGTGGAAGGTTTACAGCAATATTGTCTACTGTCAAGCCTCTTAGTAAATAAAATAAGGCCTCATTTTCTCACTTGCCTCTCCCCAGTTGTCACATCGGCCTGTATTCTCCTTTCTGAGACTCCCTCTGAGATTAGAATGTCATGTTTGCCAGATAGCCCTAAAAATACAGTTTCCTGTAGTCAGTGCTCCAAAAATCTGTTCCTCTTCCCTCACCTTAAGTCATTTTGGAATGAGAGTAGTATCCTGTCTTTAAAAGATTCTAGAAAAGATGACTATTAGTGGATGAATAAATATTTATCACCTTAAAAAATTAGTAAGTTAACTATTCTAAATGTGTGTGTCCAGTGATCCAGAGCTGAATGAGAAAATGCTAAAAACATTCTTGCAATAAGTTCCTTAAGTTTTCTCTCTGCCTATTTCTAAAGATTTCCCAGGAGTAACACTCAACAATTTCTAACAGAGAGAATCAGCAACATAAATGATTCAAAATAAAGAACACCCAAACGTGGTTTAAATGTGTATGGTCCATTTTAAACATGTATGGAAATGTGATGTTCTGAAAAAAGGTATAAATAACTTGACAGATCAGCATGAAGCTTCAACTCAAAGCCATTGCTCCCCACTCTATGCTGAGCATGAACAGCATAGTTCATCAGCCCAATGAAAAGAGTCCATCTCTCTTCCTATAAGTTTTGTTTTTTGTAGATTAAAAAAAAAAAAATCAAGAAAAACAGATTAAGTTCTTACTATTTACTCAGTACTGTGTTAGGTATAGAAAAAGTATAAGACACAGACTTAAAGAGTTTACAATCTAGTTGAGGCTTTAAGAGTTTACAATATAGCAGGAGGGTAATTCAGCGTCTTAGTTTTGAAGCCTTTCCTTCTGGTTAGGTTGAAAACTGCCTAAAAGAAAGCTGAGGATAACTGAAGGCAGAGTTAATATCAAAGGAGAACTCGGTTTACCTTTATATCCATAAGTGAGAATATACTTGGAAGACAAAAGGAAATATACTAGAGAAAGGGGCAGGGGGAGTATTTCAAGACTGATATGACCAGAAATTCCTAAAATCCTCCCTGTAGTCATCTATGCAATAAATGTGCTCATTCAAACAACTAGAACAGGACGACGAATATTTCCAATGGGCTAATGAAGGCAAAGCAGGTCTCTTTCCCCTGGTTCTGTGCCCAAATCAAACTCCTTGATGAAGCTGGGACAGTGCTTCCCCTGCAGGAGAACTGAAAGGGTGTGTGGTGCTAGTGACAGGAAAGCATGCATCTTACATTGACTATTCCTGCTGTTCTCTATTTTAGATAGATGAATCTGTTCTTCTCAACTAGACTGTGGACTCTGAGAGACCATGACCTACATCTTTTATTCCTTCTATATCAGTCCCACATTGCCCCCTTAGAATATTTAAGATAGGACTAGGCAAGGGAAAAGCACTTAACTTAAACATACAGATTTTAAAAGTTATTTCTTTAAAAACAAGCTAAGCAGTAACTACTTACTTACTGAATGCTTGAATGTTTTCAAGGCTATGTTTTATTAATTATCCAATGAGAATATAAAACACAATTCTAATTACACAGAGATTATAGTAGTATCAGTAAGCGCAAAATCCTGATTCCTTCAGGACTAAGTATAAATGTTTCTGAACAACCTCCTCTGATCCCCCAGGGCTGTGAGGACACCCTGGCCACTGCTCTCATAGTGCTCCTTGCATACCTACCATGGAGAACCATGAAGGCCCATTTACATGTGCGTCTGCTTCACAGGGCGTGATCTCTTTGAAGGTAGGGACTGGGTCTTATTCACTGTAGTGGCTCTAGTGCCAAGTAGAGCATCTAGCACAAAGTGGGGGCTCAATCAATACTTTCAAACTATAGATGTAGAATAAATCTGGGAATAACAAATCTTGGCTTGGAAGTGGCATGTGGACCTGAATAGTACGTAGGGCCTGAACTCCCTGGACTCAGTACCTGAAGCAGCAGAATGTCAAATTCCACCTGAAATATAAGAGCCAGTGCTCAGGAAATTGGCACTGGCAGGAAGAACAACACAAACACACCTTGGTTCCAGGGGAAGCTCAAGGGCAAGTGTGCTGTTACGGCTCAAATGTTATTTGCCAATAAGAGCATGCCAATAAGAGTCAGCGAACTGGGCAAGTCCTGGGAATAGAACAAAATGCTCTATCAATTCCTAATTAAGTTGACAGGTTTTTGGAGCAAACAGCCTTTAGAAATGAAAGGCCAGTCTTCTAGGGCAACCATTCTCCAGGAGAGTGGGCCCCACTATGATTCTATTAGAAGAAAAAACAGACTCTTCATAAAAAGCCTTCAGCGCTTTTTTTTCCCCCCACAGCAACAGTAGTCCCTGACTCCAGCTTTACACCTTTCTATTTCCTGCCATTTAAAAACAAAGGCAAATGTGTCTGTGTGAATGTGTGTGTACACATTTGTGCATAGCACCTAAAATTTTTTCTGAAAGGAAATATTCCAAAATGTTAACATTGTTCATCTCCAGGTGACAAGACTTTGGGTGATGTATCTGTTTCTTCTTCCCTTGTTCTATCTTGCCTTCTAACCTCCCTTCCCTCCAACACCTCTTTTTTTTTTAACCTATTTGCTTATCAGTATTTTCTAAATATTCTACCAGGAACATGTATTATTTGTATAATTTTTTCAAATGGGCGAGAAAAAGATTAAAAAAAAAAAAAAAGAAAAGAAAACAAAGAATCCAAAGTGCCTATCCACGAGGCAGCTGTTATACAAGAAGTCAAGAGACATGGGTCTGGCTTAGAGTTTGGGCAAATCTATTATCCTCACTAAGTTTCCAGTTCCTCATCTGTAAAATCCATCACTCATTCAATAAATATCTTAAGCATCGAATGTGTTACATATAATAGTGAGCAAGGTTGACATAATTCCCTGCCCTCATGGAGTTTACAGTCTATCAAAGATGATACTTTTTCAAAAAAGTTGTGACAAGTGCTGTAATAAAGAACACAATATTATGAAGACACTTAGCAGAAAGAACTAACCTCATCTGGGGAAAGTGGGGACAGGAAGTAGAAAGGGAATCTTCCTGGAAGAAATAATTTTTAAACTGAGAGCCAAAATATGATTAGAATTTAGTCAGGAGAGATGAGGCTGGTTATGTTCTTAACTTCTTTTTAATTCTGTGACTCTGTGTTCTAAGCTGTGTTACTAAATCACAGAGGCCAAAGGGCCACCTGTCACTCATCTTGTCCCTCCATTCATT